CTAAAAATCACATCTATAGCAAATTCCCTGAAGCTGCTGGTCTACAAACACTTAGGAGTAGCAAATTCTTAAGACCTTGTGAGGATGAAAACACCTACATAAAGCTGTTGCACATAAGTGGCTAGCACTCTACAAAGGGTGACTTAGAAACACAATAAAAAACGTTTAAAACCTAGAAATCACATGACCCAATCTTTTTTTTTCCTTTTCTGGACATGGGAAAAATAAGCTAAGGAAGGTGAAAATTGCTACTACTAATGGCCAAAGTGCTATAAGGGAGAAGAGATAAATTCATTTTGACAGCAAAAAGTATAATCAAGATCAATGAATGGAAGTTGTAGAATGCTTTTCATTTCATACAATAAATGTCATTCTACCATCAACTGACCCTTGTGAGCAGAGGGTAAAGTCCCCAGTTATAAAAGATGAGCACAGAATAGTTGATGATAAACATTCCTGTGTCTCGCCACCATTGAACTATTCAAGAGATGTGAACAATGTATGCAATAATCCTTTTTTAATAAAATAAAACTAGCTAATAAATTAGATGGGTTACCAGAGGGAGAGGAGAGGTGGAGTTGAGGAATGAGAGGAATTTAAAGAGCAGTGGAATGGCCTGGAACTTGGGTAGAGGGAGAGGTAACAACAGCTATACACATATAAAGATACAAAGATAAACCCTCAAAATTTTATAATTTTTTAAACAATGATAAGTCAACAGAAAAATTAAAATGGAACCAAACAAACAAAAACACCCATTTGGGGGGAGCTATAGCAACAGCGGGTAGGGCATTTGCCTTGCATGCGGCCAACCCGGGTTTGATTCCCAGCATCCCATATGGTCCCCTGAGCATCACCAGGAGTAATTCCTGAGTGCAGAGCCAGGAGTAACCCCTGTGCATTGCCAGTTGTGGCCCAAAAAGCTAAAAAAAAAAACCATTAAAAAGTCTTTATTTTCTTCCTGATTCCTTCCCCTAGTCATTCCAATAAACCCCAGCACTAATCAACAAATACATTACCCAATTGCTTCTCACTGCCTCTATTACAATTTGTTTTAAGACACTATTCCTTCTCTCTGGATTACTAAAACAACCTCCAAATAAGTTTCTCTGTCTTTGCCTTTGATCTTCTATAGTACTTTCTCAATATAGCAACTCAAGTTTTGCCATTTTTCAGTTCAATCCCTTGTTCAGAGTGAAAACTAAAGTCCATATAATGACTTAGAAGATCATTAGGAAAAATGATCTTCCTCCTCCAACTCTCACCCGTATTCCTTATCATTCTCTATCTTTCACTCTATTCCTGGAACACTTGAACTCACTATTCCTTGAATCACATCAAGAACACTCCCACCTCAGGATCTTTTCACTTACTTTCCCCTCTGTAATGAAGGTTATTCTCTGAGATTTTCAAGGTACCACATCAAAAATAGATGAAATAATAGAAAGTCAACTAACAGAAACATTCTAATTGTTTTCTATTGAAAAGAAGTATTACACTCAAAAATCAGGACTTTATTTTTATTTATTTATTTATTTATTGCTTTTGCTTTTTGGGTCACACCGGCGATGTCCAGGGGTTACTCCTGGCTCTGCACTCAAGAATTACTCCTGGTAGTGCTCGAGGGACCATACGGGATGCTGGGAATCGAACCCTGGTTGGCCTTGTGCAAGGCAAACGCCCTATCCCCTGTGCTATCGCTCTAGCCCCAGACTTTACTTTCTTGAGCTGATAGAGTGGGTGAGGCAATCTAATTCCAACTGTAACTCAGCTTTATTTTCTAAAACCAACACATTTATCAAATTCTCTTAGTGTCAAGTTTGGATAGATAGGTTGCTGTACTCCCTAATCAAGGCTCCGCAACATGATAGGTAAAGAAGAGCCCTTCTGATGGCCCATGCATCTTTGGCCCAAACATACCATCCCTTCCCACCACCATCCTGCCTGAAAATATGAAAAAGGAATCCAGAGGCAGTGTACCCTCTGTTCTCTGGGAAATCATTTCTCCTTTTAAACCCAGACTCCTTCCATTGAGCTTAAGAAAAAAACCTAACTAACACGCAAGTCCATAGACGGACAGCAGACAGAAAACAGATTCTGGTTTCTGGTAGATGATTTTATGAAACGGGAAGGAACCCACTTATTGGGTCAACTCTCTAGAGCCTCACATCCCTGGTTGTGCCTGGATGTTCAGGTTCACAATAGCAGGAGTACCATTCACCCTATTGTACATGACAGCTGCTCCAGCCATTAGGGCTCAGAAATGAAAGCTACTCCTGGCTTGTATGCTCAGACAACTCAGGGGATTTATTATAAATAAAACTGATATAAAAGTAGGTAGGGCCAGAAAGATCACAGAGCCGGTAGGGTGCTTCTCTTGTATGCAGCTGACCCATGTTTGATACCTGGCACCACATATGTTCCCCTGAGCACTGCCAGAAGTAATCCCTGAACACAGAGCCAGGAGGAAGCCCTGAGTACGATTCAGTGTGACATATCCCCCTCCCCCCACAAAAAAGAGTAAAATAGTGGCACAGTGGGCTGGAATGCCACTATGTGGCGTGTCTTGCTTTGCATGGGGGAGCTGTAGGTTTGAACTGGAACTCCATGGTCGCCCTGGCACTTCCACAGCACCTCATTAGAAATAGTCTCCAGCAAAACCAGATGTGTGACCCTTTCCAAAAAGGAAAAAACGTGAGGGGACAGATGAGGACGGAACAGTGAAGACTGGCTTAGATTCCAGGCTAAGCTAAAGTGCAAGTACACCTGAGTTGTCTGCAGTGTCACTTTCACTATGTTCTCAGTCCCCCACTCCTGCCTAATGAACAGGTTACTTCCTGACACAAACCTGAATTCCAGAGGGGCATGGCCTACCTCCAAACTCCTGTGCCCCAAGAAATTAGAAAATGTCTGTAGAAACCCAAGGTAGCCAGGCATATTTTATCTATAGCTGTTTTTCAGACAAGGAATTGGATTTGCCTCTCCTAAGGAGCCTTCTCTGTGATTCTTCCTTGAGGACTGCCCAGTGCAGGAAAACTTAGCACTGTAGCACTGTCCTCGAATTGTTCATAGATTTGCTTGAGCAGGCACCAGTAACGTCTCCATTGTGAGGCTTGTTGTTACTCTTTTTGGCATATCAAACACACCACGGGGAGCATGCCAGGCTCTGCCGTGCGGGCGGGATACTCTCAGTAGCTTGCCAGGCTCTCCGAGAGGGGTGGAGGAATTGAACCCGGGTCACCCGTTTCCAAGACAAATGACCTACCCATTGTGGTATCACTCCAGCAGGAAAATTTAAGCACATGGAATTCAGTTCATGGACTAAAAAGAACAGAGATATAAAATCAGCCAAGGGGTGTAGATTGTTAAGCAGTTCACTCAGCAAGAGGCATCCTCTATCTGCTGGAAAGCCAAAGTCTCCATGTGCCACAACAATTCCTTCCTGGCAAGAAAGTGACACATTTCCACAAGAACACTTACTTAGGGTGAAGCATGCTAAATACTTTTCTTGTTCCTGCTACTTAAGGACATAACCTCCTCCAGTCAGGAGAGGCACTAAGATGAGGCAGTGAGATGCTCTCACTCATGCCTATAGTCTGTGCAGCACATCACATCAGTAAGGAACTGCACAAAAAAGCTGGACATTACATCCCAGGGACAGGCTCACTAAGTATCAACGCTACTTCTCAACTTAATTTCTTCACTTTGAAGTAATACTCTGTGATCATCTGAGAAAATGAATGTACCTGCTGGCAGCAGGATCTGGAGTAATTTTTCAGTAGAAGAAAAAAAACCATGCCGAGTAGGGAAAAATCTGACAAAACTTTTAACAGATGTCTTCTCTTCACCCCTCAGACCCATTTTGTATATACTATCTAGGAAATGCTATTTAAGCCAGGCATTTTGTTCATTTTACTTGTGAATTCAATAATTCTCTAATTCTCCCTGTCTGTAAATGGACTTTTATATAACGCATTGGCTTTCAACGAGGTAAATTCATACAGGATAATTTGTACAGCAGTGGCTCATTACCAATACATATACCCAGGAATATCAAAGGAAAAGCCATTTTCTCACCCTATCTTTCACAATCCAATTGCAAGATGCGCTTTTTTTTTAATGAAGTGAATAGCCGAAAAAATTATGTCTCCAGGTAAAAAGAATCTCCAGTAAACATTCGAAAGGAATGTGTCTTGCAAGACCCAATAGAGGATAAGAAGATGTGGGAGAACTGGGGCCCTTGGGCAAAGCAAATGGCTCCACAAAAACTCCCTCCTCGGATGTTAATTGGTCACAGGCCAGAATAAATGAACTTTTCAAAGTTAGGAACCCGGCAACTTTCGCGGAGGCTAGCTGCTGGTGCCAGGCTGTGCCCGGCCAGCCCCCCGACCCAGGCGTGGCCGGCAGCGGAGCTGGTGGAACCCGGCGCCCAGGCCCAAGCGGCTTGCACGCCGAGGGACCCGCAGGGAACGGGCTCGGGCCCGACTGCCCAGGACCCGGAGCTCCCAGCGCCCGGCCCGGAGCCCTTCCCGCCCCGCCCTTCTCCCCCCAGACCTGGGGAAGGAAACCAGGTGAGCGGCGCCCAGTGGGATTCGGCCGGAGCTGGGGAACCGTCCCCAATTCCCAACTTCCCAGAGTTTCCTCTGGCTTCGTCCCCCCACTCGCCACCGCCGCGAGGCCGCCGCGGCCTCCGGGATCAGATGCCGGGAAGTGGCGCGCGGGGCTGGGATTGGGGAGCCGCCCCCCCAACCCCCCCGAGAGGCGGCAGGCGCCGCGCAGGTAGCGGGCGTGGTCCCCCCGGCGCGGCCCCAGCCCCCCGGGACGCGGCCTCGGCGCAGCAGCCTCCCGCGGGGTCCGCGCCCGCTCCCAGCATCAGGCCACCACGCGCCGGCCCGGTGGCTACCCTCGGTCGTTCCCTGCAGCCCCAGGCCCCGCGGCAGCCCCAACTCCCAGCCCCGGGCCCTGGGGTCGCGCGCGGCGGCGGCGGCGGCGGCGCTCACCTGGGTCGCGGAGCCGGGGTCTGGCGCGGTCCCGCAGGTGGTAGATGAAATCCTGGCAGCTGTCGTGCTCCAGGGCCCCGCGGGCACAGAGCTCGGCCAGCAGCTGCAGCGCCTGGTGACAGAGCGCGTCCCTGGCCCCGGGCATCGCCCCCCCGCATCCTCGGACCACGCCGGGCAGGCGGGCGCGGGAGACGACCCTCCGCCTGCCAGCTCCGAGCCGCCGCGGGGGACGCGGCGAGCAGCGGCCCGGCCTCCCACCGGTTGCATGCAGCTCCCCGCTCCAGCCGCTCGGTCGGGCCGGCTGTGCTCCCGCCCGGCCCCGGGGAGAGGCGGCGCCGCACAGCCCCGCGCGCCTCTCCTGCGCTCCGCCCGCCACTCGCGGCCGCCGGGGGCGGGGCCGGGGCTGGAGCGCCCGCGGGGGACTCTGCAACCGACGCCGCGAGTCGACCCCGCGCTCAAGGCGGCCGCGCCCAGGCCCGGAGAGTGAGCCGGGTGTGCACGCAGCAACCCCCCTGACTCGGTCTCGGTGCAAAGCGGGTCCCTGTCCCGCCGTTCTGGCTGCGTGTTGTCCTGCACGCGTTCTCTTAGCTGAGTGGTGAGAAAGGTGCAATCTGGACCGCACCTGCTAGATCTGGAAAACCGAGTCCTGCTTTCAAACTTGGTGATTGCCGCCTGGACGCCAAACGTGGGCCTAAAGGCGCTGGACGCCAGAATGCAGGCTTGGCGCCGACAAAGGATGGATCACTGGAGAGCATATTTTTAAAATCACCCTGATGGCTGGCTGGGGGGAGGAGGCGCTGAGATCAGAACTCAGGGCAAATTAACAGCTCCTGGAGAGAGACTGGGATCGTCCAGTCTGGAGCGTCGTAGGTCCTGGGTGGTGTTATAAGCATCTCCTAAGAGCCTTCTTCAGCATCCGCCGTTAAAGAATATCTCAGCATCTGGGGGGTGTTTGAAAGGAAATACAGGGCACCTCTCACACACCCACCTCTTCAGCCTTTCAGCTTCTAAACCGGGAAACAATTTCTGAGTATTGAGCTGTGGTGGTGGAGGTTGGAGAAGGCAGATTCTAAACCACAGGCAAACTTTTTATATACATCACCTCACTTTATTTCCTTGATGATCCATCAAGGTGTGTAGAAGTATTTTATCCAAGAGGAACCTGTGACTAACAAAGTAGTAATAAGGAGCCTTGACTGGCCCAGTGTAGAACATCTGCCTTTTGTGTGTGAGGAGGGAGGGAGGAAAGAAGGAAGGAAGGAAGGAAGGAAGGAAGGAAGGAAGGAAGGAAGGAAGGAAGGAAGGAAGATACTCAGACATGGGAGACAACAAAAACCCTGATCGTTTTTGTTTAATTTTACATAGCAGTGTTCAGACACCACTCTAAAACCAATCAGAGTAGACTCACAACCAGTATTCTTAACCCTGTGGTTGTGTTACTCTTGAAGACATCTGTATGCCCATTACACAAGCCTGCCTTGAGTGAAGCTAAGGTCTCAAGGGCCTTATATTAGAATATATATGGTGTTGAGAACCAGGGTGGGAGAGCACTATGGTGTTGAATAAATGACCAGTCTCTGCACTTAGGGCTACCCAAACAACCCTAAAGTCTGAACAGTCTGTGTGTTTGTCTGTCTCATTCTCTGCGACTGACATCAGCTCCATGGAGATCAAAGAGACCAGTCCAAATGACTTTAGACACTCTACTGATGAGGGCTGGAGTGATAGCACAGCGGGTAGGGCATTTGCCTTGCACACAGCCAACATGGCTGACCCGAGTTCGATTCCTCTGCCCCTCTCGGAGAGCCTGACAAGCTACTAAGAGTATCTCTCCCGCACAACAGAGCCTGGCAAGCTCTCTGTGATGTATTCAATATGCTAAACACAGTAGCAACAAGTCTCAAAATGGAGACGTTACTGGGCCCACTAAAGCAAATCGTGAACTGATGAGCTACACCCCAGAACCCTAACACTGGTGCAACTGTATCAGAAAAGGGCTTAAAGCAATAAATTCAGTTATAGAATTACCCTGACAAGTCAGGCAAAATAGGATGAGGGCCTAAACTGGGTCACAGGTGTTGACTGATTAACAGGAACTTCCAAAATCTAAAAATATTTCAAGTATTAATTGACAAGATTGCAACTAATGGAATGAGGAAGAAGACAGGACAGGAACTTTCAAAAGGTGAGCTGGGTAATAATGGTGAGTCTTTGGTGACACTTAGAATTGCAAGCCTGGAATTTAGGGGAGACAGAAACATCAATCATTCATGGAAACGCACTGCCAGGAAGAGCAGGGGAAAGTGGGATAGAGTTCATAAGACCCATCAGACCCAAATGAGGGAAGGGGGAAAGAGGGCAGAAACGTAAAGATGGACAAAGGAACTGCACATATTGGCTTTCAGAGATGCCCACATGAAATTTCTTTGGTATCATAATGCAATGTTACTTCAATAAAGATGAAGAGTAAATCACATGCGACTTACCCAGGAAGATACTGAAAAGCAGTAGTCAAGGAGGAGGAGAAACAAGATACAGCAGAGTCAAGGGGATGTAAGAAAGAGAAGCATGGGCTAGAGAAGAAATCAATAACATCAACTGCAAAATAAAATTTTAAAGAAAATAAAAAGTGTCCCTTGGATGAATCAAGCAGTAAGACATCCATGATTGGCAGAATCTATATAACTAACCTATGGAAGCGACTTAATGTTTTTTTTGCACCTTAGGTTGATCATCCTGTATACAGATATCCCCCCCCCCATTCCTGGGATGTTGTAACGATTACAGAAAGTACCTAGAAATATGCTGTTATACTATAGAAGTTCCATTACCATTGCTTTTGTTGTTGCTGTTGTGTGTCTCCTATAATGTGCCAGGTGCTAAGCACTCTGTAATTTCTTCCTCAGTACATCCCTAAGGAGTAGATGCGATTATTTCCTTTACACAGAAGAATAAAGTGAAATTAGGTGATTCAATAATTTTCCTAAATTGTAGATTACTTCCTGGAGTAGCCACAACCACCCATCCATTCCACGGAGCCTCTTGCCATCAGTGTGACTTTGTAAGCAGCTAGAAACTCCAGTTTGTTCTCTACAAATTTTTTAGATCTTTCCTTCATTCCTTGTTTCTGCCTTTCCCCTGAAGATAAGAAATTTTTCTATAAATTGTGTGTTCTGTGTTCAAATAGGAGCCAGTCATGGACAAGAAGAAAAGAATAGCACATGCCAATCTCTAATGACACTGTGGGGTCCACCAGAGCTGACACTGCACAGTGCCATTATATTGTACAAAGAACAGGTAGGCAGGCTCCAGTGACTTCATCAGATTGCAGCATGACCGTTCCCTTCTCTCTAGAAACCAGCTTTCCTTTGTCTGCTTTTGCCACTGGCTCTTTATAAAGCCCAAGCCCTTAATGTAGAGTAAAGTGTTTTGGAGGATTGATTCCACTGTCTTCTTGGATTGCTAGCACTTGAATCAAACTCTTTTTCTTGCACCAACATTTTCTTTCAAATGTTAGCAAAACCTTGACGTAGGAGGGTGTTATATATATATATATATATATATATATATGTAAGACACACATATATATGTAAAACACAGGCTCAATGAACAACACCGAAAACATGAGATCTAACCTACAACAGCCTAACTCTGTAATGTGCCTGTCAAGGTGGTAGGTGTGTGTCTGGTGGGGAGGGAGGAATTGAGAGTAATGAGAACACTGGTGGAGGAAAGTTGACACTGTGGCAGGATTGGTGTTGAAATATTGTATTCCAAGGGCTCAATAGTCAATGACATTGTAAATCACGGTTCTCTAAATAAAAAAAATTAAATAAAATTTTTTTTCAAACCACTGTCACTGTATCACTGTCATGCCATTTTTCATCAATTTACTCAAGCAGATGCCAGTAATGTCTCTATTTGTCCCAGCCCTGAGATTTTAGCAGCCTCTCCTTACTCGTCTTTCCCAACGATTGGAGGCTTTTTCAGGGTCAGGGGAATGAGACCTGTTATAGTTACTGGTTTTGGCATATCGAATATGCCATGGGGAGCTTGCCAGGCTCTGCCCATGTGGGCAGGATACTCTTGATAGCTTGCCAGGCTCTCTGGTATACATATATATATGTATTTATGTATATATATATATATATATATGTTTCTCTATGATTTGTTGCTTACTGTCTGAAATCCATCAAACATGGTGTGGTAATTATGGAAAATGTGTAGGAAGCGTCTTATGATGTATTGCAGTCACTCAATCTGGAAAGCGGCCTGGAGCACAGCAGCAGTTGGGTAGTGGAGGTTGGCTGCTGGGGCTGGGTCTCTTGAGGCGGGGACGGCTCTCACCCACCCGCCTCTGGGGTGCCCCAAGTGAAAATAGTCTGGCATGGAGTTCAGTGGCATGGTTATGGTGGTCTCATTTTATACTCTTGTCTGAGAGCAGCAGCTGTGAGTTCTGGAGGGTGGCCAATGAGGAGATTATCTGGTGCCAGCAGGGTGTGGCTTATGGGTGGGACCCCTGGGTCACCAGAGACTGGGGGGAAGCATGCAGAGGACCTCTGCTCTTCAAACCACAAGACCTTCAAAAAGTATTAACATAAACCTAGCAACTAGACTTTGGATTCAGTACCAACTGTACCTTCTCCTCCCACAAAGAGATTGGGTCTTGTTTCTCTTTCCCACAAATTGAAGCTGGCTGTGTACTTTAACCAAAAGAAGGAGCAAAATGATATTCTAGTATCAGAATGGTGTTTGGTAAAAACATGGAGAAAGAGAACCCTTGGTCACTGTTTGTTGGTGTTTAAATTGGTGTACCCGCTCTGGATAATAGTATAGAGCTTCATTTAAAACATGAAACTAGAGCCAGGGTGATTGTTCATGGGTTATGAACACATGCCTTGCATGTGCAAGGATCTAAGTCCAATATTTTCTTCTACATAGCACCTCCTAAACATAGCTGATCATAGCCGTGGAGGCCTGAAGCACCAGAGACTCCAAGCACTGCATTGCCAGACCCTGATAATGAAGCATTTGAATTGGTCTGGAAGTGGCCTCCAGACCTCCTGAGCATGACTTTAGAAGTGCCCTCTCTCCATTTATTAAAAACTATATTTTAGTTGAGCTACCATATAATCCAGCTATCTTTCTACTGAGGATGTATACAAAGAATTGATAATCACTCTCAAAGCGACATCTTAGCCCCCATGTCAACTACAGCATTATTTACAAGTCAAAATATAGAAATAGGCCATGCTGTTTGATGGATGAATGATTATAGAAAGTGAAAAACAAAAAATGATATATGTCATATATATAATACATAATGTTACTGTGTTTGGCATATCGAATACTCTCGGTAGCTTGCCGGGCTCTCCG